ACAGACCAGAAGAACATTTACAAATACAAAATTAATAGCACTATAGTAACAGAGGTCATAATATAATTGTGACAGTGACTTGTAGAAGGCATAAAACAATCAAAACAATAGTGTCATTTTCGAATGTATATTACAACTAAATGGCAGCTTATCTGTCATGTGACAATTGAATGAAGTCCTATGTTGTGAGTGAGGAAGTACCAATCCCAGAATTCAACTACAGGTAACCCTCGATTTACGCCGATTCAGAATAACGCCGATTTTGAAACCAGCAAATTAAGTGTAAGTGTATAAAATATAGGTTTTAAATTCCCTTTATTTTATTTACGTTATTTCAGAGCTTTAAATATAATGCCATTATATTACTCGTCAAAGTTTGGGTACTGGGAAAGCATATCATCGACTTCCCATTGATTTACATTATAAAAGAATTTCAATTTACTCCAATTCCGTTTACGCCGGTTCGTCCAGTGTAAATCGAGGATTACCTGTACAGCTAACGTCTAGGTGTAGTTGACTGATGGTTTGCAGTGTTGTTCAATTTAATGCTAATTCAGTTTCCTAGGTTTCTTCTTTGTGAATGACTTATCTCATTGCATTCAGTGGAAAATGGGATGCAAAGAGTAGATTATACAGCATCATATGCAAAGGTGCAGAGAAATATATGGCAGAGAAAACGAGACTGTTTGAAATCTCAATCATGAGATATGTGAGAAATTCAAAGTAGTGGAAGACTTTTAGAAAGATGATTATCCAGTACAATGAATTAAAGTTAGTATCATCTACAAAAAACAAAACAGAATCACTTGAGAACTTATCGAGTCTGCATTCATCAAAAAAAAACAAGGTATTAGCCAAAAAACTAAATCATTGTGTTCAATGTAGCTTCTTGTAGTATGAATAGAGAAGTAATTGCCACAAAAAACAACCATTCCTATGTATGATTTGAGGTTTTTACAGCCGTGAGTAAGAAGATATCTGTCTTCTGGGTTGTTGCACTGTGTAGTCTGGTCGATGTTAACCAGTATCACCTCTGAAACGTTGGTTAACATCGACCAGATGACACAGCGCAGCAACCCAGAAGACAGAAGTCATCAATCATTCCTAGTTTCATAAGTGGTTATGAAGTAAGATAGCAGTTTGATTACACATTTTAAAGTGTAGTTTGATTTCCTCAATAATCCTTATATTAACCATTAAAAATTAAAAGCTGGGATGGAGGATAAGAGGAAGAAAATTCCTAATATGATGTCATCACATTTTATGAGAACTGAAAGGAGCATGATAATAATATGGTTTTACTGGTCTGAAGAATGCAAGCTGCACTCACTCATTTGTGCAAGTTCGTTGCCTCAGGTACAAATAAATACTGGTTGCACAATATTTTCAAGTATATTTTGGCCATATATTTCGATAAGGATATACATTTGTACATGGAATGTGTATAACACTGAATTATAGATAAGCTGTCAGTGATACAAAAACATGTCATAATCATGTTAGTGTTAAATGAAGAGTGTTATTAGTGTTACTTAAATATATTTTAATGCTGTCAGTGTTGCATAATTATGCCACACTGCTGTTAATGTTACATAAATATCTCTGCTCTTCAAGAATATTATTGTGGCTATGTCACTCATGCATACAGATTTTGTGCATAGTTCATATTGCAACATTTGTTTTGATATGTATTTCAGATATACTACACACAAACAAGCACTACACACTATGACAAAAGCGTATTGTAAAATCGGTATATTTATTAATTTTCTTGTGAATCATAATGTCAAATAAGATATTTATACATAATATTTGCTGTAGATAATAGACATAAATTATAAGTTAATTACTCATGTTGTGACTGCATGAATATAATCCATGTTAACATAAGGTTATTAGTCATTAAGACAGACACACTGATTTCTTCCATTTATAAATTTTATGAATCATTCTTATGCATTTGTGTAAAAATTCTTGACTAATTTATATTAAAGTGTTAGATAAAATATAATTATACATTCTAAATGCAGAATAAACATGTTTCCGTACAATAAACCACAACAATTATAACATAAGTAGTAAGGTATGTAATTTTTTTAAAGCTTCTTTTCTTAAGGTGATATTATGCACTTTTGTTTATGCTATTTTGTATTTTATCAAAAAACATTTTATTCATTAAATGTCCATGTTTTGAAAAGTAGACAATTCATCATATCTATATCAGGTTTGGAAGGAATAGGATAATAGCTACAGGAGTAGGTAGAAACCCTCAAAACAAAATTAAAATATAAAAGAAGTTTTTTAAAAGGAATTTTTACATAACTGTCAAATGAAGCAAGTACATTAATCATGCTGTAGGAGGCCAAAGGTCTTAGGATATGATGTTCAACACAGAAAATACAAAGATATCTCCCTGCAATACAACAGTTGACAGTGATCAACACTTGGTGCACTTTAGTAGCCTTACAGTTGAACTGTGCAGTTATCCTGTGGTAGTAAGACATTAGCAGGAAATGGTAATTAAATGAATTTCACATTGCATGACTACTGTGATATGTGTATTTATCCTTGGTGTTTGTGGTAACTATGCCTATACTTCAGCCAGGCCTTATACAGAAAGGTTTCCAGCATGCCACAATGCAGAGTGTAATGTGTTTTGCCAGATGGATGAGGGAGACTGGCAATGTCCCACCAACACCATCATTGGATAGATTTTGACCACATACTCACTAGACACAGTACTCAAATAGTTCTATAGGGTAGACCAGGGCAGAAAGGGGCCACAGGGCAGAACAGGTTATCAGCTTTATTTTGTCTGCAATGCGTTGCAATCTATCAGGACCAGGTGAAATACTATTAGCATACAGCACAAGGTCATGTCATGTCAGTCAGCGCTATTGTGTTTTTACAGTTTCTGAAATAATTGTCCATGCTGGATTTTGCTCCTACATTTTACAATTTTTTCTCAACTTCCAGTGAAGGTAAGACCTATTCATTATTCATATCCACTTTGTTGAATGATGCATGTCACAAGGTGTTTTCTTGAAAGTCTGAAACAAAATATTTTTATTTATTTTCATGATGTTATTTTTGGTGGGACAATCCTAATTTAGAAAGAGTATACTCGGGGCATGATGGGGTAGGGCAGAATGGGGTACTCAGAGAAGAGGATCAAATGACAAGTGCCTGTAATGTGGCGATGTCTATTCGCAGTCTATTGAAGGGTGGATCCGGTATTCATCTTACTTGAAATGTGCCCATAATTCATGTGCAAATGTTGGTAGTCACGATGATGAAGAGGTGCACATGTGTGATGGCTGCATTAAGCCTAAGTAGATTTCAAATGTGAAGTTTCGGCATTTTACATTGTGTACTAAAGCATTTTTATATCCTAATCATAATTATTAGATAATTTGTGTCTTCTTACAACTTTTCAAACATATATCAACCATACATGCTAGAGTCTTTCACCTGTAAATTAAGCACCTTTAGAAAGAGGGTGAAGAAAGTAGTTACAAGCAAAGGGTTATTAAATGGGAATTAGATAATGATAAGGGAAGTAAAGTGAAGTGTCTTGGTCTCGAAGTGACGAGGTGCTTTAGTTCTTTGGGATAAAAATTTCATATACTGAGATCTGACTTTATATTTTACTCTAAAGTATTGTGATTAATTAATTGATGTGTGTCCGTGTAAGGTGTAGAAGTTTATGTAGGGGTGGATGTCTAGTTATGTGTGTAGGGTGTTTATGGAGTGTACTTGTATATGTATTTTGTTGTAATTGTGTAGTGTAAGGACCACTGCCACCTGGTGCAAACCCAATTGCAGTAAATAAAATAATAATAATAAATACTCCGTCTTGCCCCGTACACGGGGCAAAGTGGAGCAAGTTACATTCTTGTAAAGAAATTAATATTTAAAGAAAACTGTAACTCTTAGAACTAAACTAATAACTCATTTTAAATTTCAAATAGACAATAAATCCACACAAGGTTCCTCCATGCATTTATTTTTATTATTGTCCTTTCCACATGCCTACAGAAATTAAGTTCCCTCTTCTGCCCTGGTCTCCCCTATATGATGGTACAGAATTCACATCTTCCTGTACAAGAAATTACCTGAGGTAGTTATTGAACACATTGTCCATTTAATGGTCAAAGATGAACACCTGTATCCATACTACTAATCACAGGTTCAAGGTCTCATGCCTCATGATTATGATCATCTCAAATGCTGAGAGGCTTTGACAGAAATATGAACATGATCTGGACTTTATGGATCATACCTTATGGATGGATGAAACAGCATTCAAGCGTGAAAGTGTCTTAAACAATTACAACAGCCCCTTGTGGGCACAATATAATCCACATGTAACACATGAATGGGGCTATCAAGCTATCTAGAGGATTAATGTGTGGGCAAGTACAATGGCAATTGTGTGGTTGAACCATACCTACTATCCAACTGCCTCAATGGGTCTGCTTATTGAGTGTTACTGCAGGAAGTCTACTGGTGCTGCTTCAGGATATGCCACTGACAGTTTGACATAAAATGTGGCAACCATTGATGCAGACATGTTATGACATGTGCAAGCTAGTATTCCACGATGTTTGGATACATGTTATGAATACGTGGTAGACACTTTGAATACTTACTTTGACTGCTGCCCACTTATTTACACATTCATCTGCTGTGTTCTGTGTTGGCAAACACCATACACTCCTCAAGTATTGCTTATCCTGATATGTGTGAACTGCACATTTTTCTTCTGTACACTAATTTTTATTATCTTGCTTGTTCACGAGTGTCACTTGCAGTTTCTTTGTGGTTATTCAACCCTACATGTGTCAGCCTCTGTCTCTCAGCATCGCCACCAGGGCCAGATATTGACCAGCAGAGTCCCTATGTTATGTCAAGTTTATGAGACCCTAAAATTTGGAATTAAAATATGTTATTCTGACAACAGATAAATGTTAAAAAATAAACATTAAAATGTGGTGAAAACAGTATTTCTTAATGATAATGACTGTATACATGTTTGCATAACAAATTCCTTGAATTATTAAAACATTTTTTTGTTATTTTTTAATAGCAAAGTCATTGATAATTTCTTCAAAATATAAGCTACAAATATTGTCACTTTTGATGTACATGATGTTTAACACACAGATATTCTTTCCTGACATTTTTGTTCACAGCTCATTGTTTATGTGTTTTAATCGAGAAAACGGCCTTTCTCCTGAGTTTTTTGTAACCATAAGACTCAAAAATAGTGGCAAATTTGTTTCTACATTAGGGAATGCCTACTGAATTTTATCTTTATGATTTCATGAAGGTCCTTATGCTCTAAAAGTGCTTTGGGTGCTCTCCGTAATTGTTTCTAACATAAAAATTAAAGTGCTTTATCTCCCAAATAAGGTTAATATCAGCATCTTCAGGGTAGTCTTTCATTAGGAGTCTTATGCTTTTATTTAGCTGCTGTGGTGTTCAAAAATATTTCTTTGAGCTCTTATGCCAAAGGACTCGTGGTAAATTAATTTCAACTAGCACTTTAATATTTAAATTCATAAAAGAATTGTATGCATGTTATTTTTATATTTATCACTGGTCAACAATGCAACAGAAACTCTAACAATAATGTCTTCATATAATCATTTGCATTATTGTCAATGTTATAAATTCAATAATAAGACTTTTATGAGAGACTGATATGATTAGTAGCATCCACAGCTTCCAGCTTTCAAATGATAAACAATGTTAGTTAAGTCAAGTTATGGTGAGTAGATCATGTTAGAAACTGAGTGGATTGCAGTACAGAAAGGTAGCTAAAGACATATTAAAAAAGTCGTTACAAAGTCATAAAATTTAACAGCCTCATCACTGGAAAGGTTGAAGACAAGCATATTGTTTAAAATGTAAGCCCCCAATTGTTATGGTTGGTTCAAAAGAAGGAAAAATAAATTCACCCAATTAAAATTGCTGTATCTAAATCTATAACAATATAATCCCATTATTTAACTTATATTTTTTCAGTTATCAAAAATGAAAGCTATTCCAACAGCTGCAATGGTTTTTAAAACAATTTCATGCTTTTGTATAAGTAGTAATTGGTAACCTTTGTTTCATTTGACAATTCCATACCATGATATCTCAGGAATGATTCCTTATAGAGATTTTTTCTTAATATGTTTTGTTTTTAGGTTTTCTATCTGTTCCTATTTTCATTATGTGCCGTTTTATCCACACCCTGAAAAATATGAAAACACACACATAGTCAGTTCTTTTGTAAGCATTGAGTCAAGCAGATGAGTGTAACATTATTCCCATGAACTTGACCCATAGTTCACAAGTTTTCTTCACAGTTGCACTGTATAGAAATCTTAATATTGTCTTGTGCAGTACTGGCCATTTTAATTTATATTTTTCATGATCATTACTTCACATTAACCATTTCTTTTTAAATGGAGCTGTTGTCATCTTAACTTTATATAAATATTTCTTGATATCTAGTTTATACACATTTCAAACAATAAGAAAGATGTATGAAAAGTTTGGAACACTGAGTTCTTCAATTATCCAAGCAACGTAATTCCATTCTGTATATATTATTCAAAATCTTAAACTGTTTTTCAGATGTCTTTAAGGTTCATTAGATCATGAAATAGTCTCATAACTGCTCAATAAAAATGAAAACACTGCTATTTGTTTCTTTGTTAATATTCTCAATGCAGTATGCTTTCCTGCAGAAATTGATACCTTTGCCTTTTTCTTTTCCATATCTTACTGATACCAACATCATGTGCTTTGTCTACAATTGTCATTATCAGCTTATCTTCCTTACCTCATCAGCTTGTATTACAATTTGTGTTGCCAAATTCAGATCACTATCACAATTTTTTTAAATTTTTAAAGACATTGCTAAAACACTTCCTGTAAATATGCTGTTGCCCTTGACATACAATGGTTTTAGAATAGTTATAATCATAGTTAATACAAGTTGTAACACAGGTCAACAAGCAAAAGTTCCCAATTATGACAAATTGTTAAAGTACTTTTGTGAATGAGACTGAATTTAATGTTAGTATATGTTGGGCATGAAAATGAACACCTTAACAATGAAAATAATACTAAGTCATTCGTTATTTTTCTTAATATGAGGATATTTTTGCAAGTGTTGGCATGGGGCCAAGACCTAGCATTCCTCAACTCTAAGTTTAAAATGGTCTCAAGTATCAAACATTTATGACAAAAATGTCATCATTTCTCCTTCTGAATATCTCACATGCTGTGTGAAGTGTCCAGTTTTGGCTGAAGTGGAATATTAAAGGCAGTGTGATCTTATCACACAGTTTTACTTAGTAATTCTCATAACAATTGTTACAATTCTTCCTACAAAGGCAGTGTGGTACCTGTGTCAATCTTGGCCCATGAGGGTCCTATAGAACTATTACTTAATTTCCTCTTATTATGTGCATTGTAATATTATAGCCAGTTCAGAATCTTGTTATTTAGGTATTTTAAGTTTTGAAACAGACATCTAGGAGATTACATTATTATTTGCAGGAAGCTGCAGTGAATCTGGCATTTCTGGAGTCTGTGATGGTTGCACAGAGTGTAGTATTGCTGGATGTCTTCCTCACACGATATGGATCATAGCAAGTAGTCAGATGCTCAGTGGTATTGGGCCTGATGGGTCCCTGATTTCGGAACCCAAGGCGGTAAGCCAGGGTGCGAATTACTCTGCCCTTCAACACAAAGATGACGAATATGAGTGCCCCCTGCAGTGCATTAGCTGTATCAGACAGGTACCAGATCCAGGGTGGTTCAGTCAGAAAGGATGAGACAATCTCCAGTGTCCAAGTGACACCCATCACAATGAACAGCTTTGCATTCATAATGAGCCTAGAACAGGCAATAAGAAATTAGCAGGCCTTGAAGTTCTCATGGCATTGAGTATAAAGATGGCTGTATTCTGTGGTGTAGTGCTGTAAACTCTGGTATAAACTTCTACTATCAGGGTGATTACCCTGATGATGGAAGCAGCAAGGGGGTCTGAAATGTTGGAAAACTTGTTCCAGACTACATGATGCTATGAACCAGAAGGCAGCCATCTTAATAAGAACTTACTGTGCAGCTTTTTAAAAAAAGCAAAAGTCTGAAAGCAGTCAGTGGCAGTAACATATTTTATGTAATTATTAACTATTTCAGTTGTTACTGTCATTATTATTATTATTCTAGTTAAATAGCTTCATAATAGTTATTTTGTCTTCACAACCACCTTTGACACTTAATTTTTACTTACAGTGTTTGTGTCTGTAAGAAATAAATTCCCATGGGAATGATACATACAACTTGGATCTCCTTATATATTGAAATGTTTATATTTATAAAATAATACATGTATTGTTTTAATTCATACCTTTTTTCATGATGTTAGACATACAACTACTAGTTTTCAATTTATATATATATATATATATATATACATAAACATGTGTGTGTGTGTGTGTAAATGCTCTAAACAGAAGTATATTATTTGGTTTCTGATATAAGTAATCAACCAACCTACAAGTAGATGGAGCAGAGCTATTTATGACAAACTGACACTCAGAGAGTATCAGGTTATCAGAGCAACAAGTATTAAGATGGCTATCTTTTGGATGTTATGCCATGTAGAATGCAGATACTGCTGACCTTTCAGAGATACTTAATACCTCCACCATTAGATCAATGATCATTGATGATTGATGCAGTAAGCACCTCTGAAATATTACTCAATTTCTTTAAAGAATTCTGTCTTTCATTAACCTGAAACTTCATTATCATGTCCATAAGAGATTGCCACTGGAATGTATATTTTGTTAGTCAAATACAAATCACACATTCATGCCCATTTTTCAAGATCTATTTTAATCTTATTCTGTCATCAACCTTCCAAAAAGTTATTTTCCATAGGTTACTGACCAACAAATTTGATAACTTCCTCAGTTCTTCTGTATGTGCTACATGCCCTGCCCATCCCATCTTCCTTGACTTCATCATGCTAAAGAAATTGTATGAAGAGTACAAATTATGAAGTTCATCGTTTTATAATTTTCTCCATGATGTTAGGTTTATTTCCTCCAAATATTCTTCACATGACCTTGTTCTTAAACACATAGACTGTGTTCTTCTCATACAGTGAACGTCTTCATATACATGTGGTATCCATTACTGACAGGGTTGAGTGTTAACAGAAAATTATAGGTCATAGTGATTTATTGAAGTTGACTTTCCTTAGGAATAATATTAGTTGAAATTATTTCCAGTTTACCAAAAGTTAATACGGTAAGATGTTCCTTCATTGACTATGGAAGTTGTCTTTCGACAGTCAATAAGTTAAAAAGAGATCTTGAAATGACACAAAACTGTCATAACTGAAATGTCATTCTTGATCTTAGTTCCAAAGCCTGCAGTTTCCTTTATCTACTTGAAAACTTAACACTTGCCTAATAATTACTCATTTGAGTTATGTGTGTTTATGCTTACAAATATATATAAATGTATGTTGTCACAAAAATGGATAAAGACTCATTTATTATAGAGTATTTATATTAGTAACAATTTAATTTTTCTACTGTCCTTTTCAATATTTCCGCACATAATCTACAGCTTGAGGGATAGTATCACTGCAGCTGCAGTTGGCAGAATTTGGATATTCCAGCACTCTTGATGGCAAATAATTACAGGCTTTGAGTCCTTAAGATGCAAAGGAAAGTTAATGCATGTTCATTACTCTTCATTACTTGGAATCATCTTTTTTAGGATTTCAGATCAAGGTATGATTCCTGGCAATCACAATCAGTTCTGGTCTCCACTAATTCTCAAAATCCGTAGGCACCAAGGATTCCTTTCCCAATGGTAAAGCAACCGGAGCATGAAACCGATAAATCAACTCGATCTAGAGACGACTTAGGAATGAGTGGAGCTTTACCTCCATTCGTCCTATGCCACCACGACAAGGTACTTTAGCACAAGAAATTAGAGTTATTCAGTGGCGGCTCGTGAGTCTGAGCAGTGGTAGTTCTGCGCACGGAGAAAAACTCAGAATAGTTTTTCAACACATAATAACATAAATAAATTAAAAGTAAATTTACATCAGGAGAAAGCCCATACGTGCTCGACGATGTTTAACTATTTCTAAGTCCGGACGAGGGCGGCCATGATATTTTGCATCACTTTTTTCACTCAAAGAATTAAGAAAAAGTAATTTGCTGTGAATATGATACACTTCCTTTGCTCATTGTCTTTATCAGAACAAAAAAATAGTCGGCATACAGAATTATGGAATATGTAACAATAACCACGAAAGAGATTGCGTTACAGAAGCCAGTCTAAAACGCGTGGTAACGGGCAAGTGTGTTTACTATGAGCCGGCTGCGGCGACTGCAGCCCGAAACGCGCTGTACCAGTGAACTGCCCCTCACTCTACCGCCCGCCGCGCTCTGCACATTTGACCCGACAGCCGCGTTGAAATCCTTGCAGCTGGATGATAGCCCCGTTCTGCTTCGCACTCCTCGCCCGCGGACTTACTGTCAGTTCAGCCGATTAGTGGATAATGACAATGTAAGGGGTAATATTAAAATAATGATATGGAGGAAATAAAGTGTTACAAATTATATAAATACAAAAAATAAATTTTCAATATTTGAAAAATTATAGGGGGTGCTGCAGCTCTTATGGACGGGCCGCCACTAGAGTTATTACAGTGTGATGTACCAGGTTGGTCTATGTGAGTTTTGTATGCCGTTTAGTTTATCTTTAAATTTATTTTATTTTGATGAAGTTAGAAAACGAGACTCATGAAAAGGGAGACACGCAATTTTGTTCTGAGGTGCATGTTTTCACAATTCATTGCAGGGCTATGTCACCTCGCTTGTTCTAGAAGGGAGGTTGTAAATTGTGTTTCTATATATTGATCTAAATGTTGTGTATGGCCCGCTGACATAACAAGCAGCCACTGACGGAGAAAACTCTAATCTGTTGTTCGTTACGCTAGAGCCGGTTAAGAAACTTCTCTCGCAGAGCCAAGTGTTCAGTGTGTCTGAATCACATTTGTGAATAAATATTGGTTAGATGCGTTAAAAGATAAGAAAAATAGTTGAAGTTTTTATAGAAAAGCAACATCTTTCATCTGCTACAGGTGTTTATTTTCTCACAACTTCGGAGAGAACACCGAACCGAAATATACACCGACGACTGATGTATTACAGGGAAGCTGTTCCCATAATTCTGGTTGGTTTATTGAATGGAAATTGTAAATGTGCTGTCAAGTGGAAATTTCACATGCGTATCCTAATGCGTGATGGAAATCGTCCAAGCTTGCTAGAAGAACGAAGTATGCCACCTGAATCGAGCGCTAGGCACAATGATATACTTCTATAAACAGCGACCCAGTTGCGCCTGGCAGCATTTAAAATGCATAATTTGAAACAAATCGTTTCTCTTTTCCTCACAACATTTGAATGTGAAAAGTGACAGCTCGACTAGTGAAGCAACTGTTTACAAGATTTCTGTCTTCTGGATTTTTGCGCTGTGTAGTCTGGTCGATGTTTACCAACGTTTCAGAGGTCACACTGCCTCCGTCTTCAGGGAGAATATTTCTGTCTTCTGGGTTGTTGCGCTGTATAGTATGGTCGATGTTTACCAACGTTTCAGAGGTCATACTGCCTCCGTCATCAGGGCGATGAATATTCATGCCCTCTGAAACGTTGGTAACATCGACCAGACTGTACATCACAACAACCCAGAAGACAGAACTCTTCATACTCACCGCCGTGAAAACCTCAAATCTTACAACTGTTTACAAGCTAGACAAACCGAGTTCGATGTGATTCTTTCTTTACCAACCATTCAAAATGGCTACCGAGTTTGTCTATCCGGTTTCGAGGAACGTGTGTTGGATATAAGTTACTTTTAACGCTCATACACACACACACACACACACACACATAATCGTAATCGCAAACAATGTATATCAATGAATTATATGAATATCGAAAATACTTAACTTACAACTGCTTGCTAGTCTGTGTAATTGATTTATTCTTGCACGCGTGTTCATTCGACTACTTCCTGACATTTAGTTCCTTGACTATCCTGTAGAAAACTCTTTTAGAATGAAAAATTGGCTACCATTTCCTGAGATACGCTTTTAACATGTTAATAAACTACCATCAAACCAACGACAATAATTACTGGTGATTAACATGTTAACACTAAATTAACCTTTAACAGTCATTAAATAAGTAAACATATATTTTACAATGGTCTCAAATTACTGTAAATGGAGACAATGGGAACCATATATTTACAAAATTAATTTTGGGTTTCTTAATTGTGGTAAGAGGACTATTCAGCCTTATTCAGTAATACTGACTGCAACGTATATCCAGCAAGGTGCCACAGATTAAACCTATAACTGATATAGAAACTACTGTCACTTTAAGGTAAAAATGACAACCAACTTTCTTGAACACAAAGCATTACTTGTACAAGGTAATTCTATAGTTCAGTTTCCTCAAAATATTACCAGAATGTCTTATACTTCTTGTAACAACTGAATTCTTTGACACACGCTCTTATGCATGAGAAGCACAGGAATATATTTAAAAAATATAAACTTAAATAAAATGTAAATATAATGGACAAGTACGAAATTAATGCAGTGATTATGTGACCTCACTGTCTAGATGACCATTTACTTTTCGCCTAAGATGTGAGTATTTTGCCGAATCAAACAAGTGACAGGTGTCATTGTATTTGACGATAAGGAGATCTTGTTGGTGTTACAATAACATTTATCTTTAAATTTTCCTCACATTCAAACGAAGAAGTGGAAAAAGTGTCAAGAATAGTCTATATTTCAGTAGTTAAATTTTATCCCGCATATTTTTACACTTAGATAGTCTCGGTATCCACAAATCTTTCTTTCCATCGAAGTATTTAGGATTCTTTTCTGTTTGTCTCTCATCAAATTTTGAACTAAGGTTGATGTAGTCTGACAATTTTATTTGATCGGGCCATTACTACAAACCAGTCTTTAAAAAAGCAGTTTCGTTCCTTGAGCACACTTCAAAGATTCCATAGAAATTCTCTGAATTCTGGGTGTTCTATGTATTGCTGTTGTAAAGCAAAATTTCTGAGAGTTCTTTTCTATTGGCAGTAACAAATTCTTCACAATATGAAAAGTTTTCTCCTTCCTTCATTTCTTCCTTTCTTTCCTTCTATCTTTCTAGAAAATTTTTAACAAGATTTCCACTCTTGCTACTGGTTCTGTATAATTCCACCACACATTATTGCAAGACCGAACTTAGTTCGAACAGACGTGTTATACATCAATCGTAAATCCAAAGTATTTCTGCTGATAGTATTTTCCTTTGCAAAACTTCATCCGTCCTTCACTTTACGTTTCTGCTGCAGTCACAATCGGCTTCATTTAAATGCAGCAATAATGCTATGTAATTCTATCATGCTGCAGAAGAAGACTGAAGAATGAAATCTGTTCATCTTATGCCAAAATCGCATTCAGCTTTCAGTATCAAAAGAACACACACTTCATCAATGAGCGATTTACATCTGTTGATTCATGTAACAACTGTCATGCGGCACCACTGACCATAATTGTTATTTTGTCATATCATTTCATGATGGTGGATGCCAAATTTTGTTGAAGTTCGAAACCGGGTAGTTAAGGTAAGGCATCCTTATTTGGTCTTTGTGTAGGATTTGGCTGCGTAGATCCCCACCAGTGATACAGAATTGATATTGTTTATTTTCTCTCTCTCTAGATTATCACAATTCCACCCCACAGTCAAATAACACACAGATGTCTATGTTGACTCGTATTAACAGATGGCGAGTGCAAATTTGCTGAAGCACATAAAGAGTTTTCTACTTGGGCGTGTTTTCTTGATATCTGAGGGATAACTTTACAGTGTAACACCTAAACACTGAAGATACTCTGAACATATTGAAAATGCTCCAATATTTGTTTATGATCACCTAAATTTTCATCTCGTCAAAGCAGTTTTAGTTTCAAAACAATTTTCTTTAAAAAAATTCGTTAGGGTTAAAATTGGTGTTCTAATCGGGAGGCAGTCATATTTCAGTCTGATTTCTTACTTTGTATTATTCTAAATCAACGACAATGGGAAAAAGTTATTCAAAACCTTTTCTTGGTAATTCATTTTTAAATAAACTGTCCATTAGAAACACAAAGCTTCAGCACTCGGAAGCCAAAGTTCGCCATTCGACTCCATTCTGAGCTAGTTCTATAATCAGAACCCATTTCCATATCATTCTCTCAACACCCTTTTACTTGCAAGCTGTAAATAATCAGTGCTTCCCTTGCTCATTATTCAATGTATACCCAATTACTTCGTCCCTCTTAGGGTCATGTACTTTCTTGAACACTCTTCAAACATTAGTTGTTTTTTTAAGATGGCTGTCTTCTCGGTTGTTGCGCCGTGTAGCCTGGTAGAAGTTTACCGACGTTTCCGAGGTCCTTGCTGCCTCCATTATTAGGGCGATCTCCCCCCAAGCGCCTACATGGCGTATAGTGGGACAGCTTTTATTTAATTTTACATAATATTAGCCACCACATAAAATAGTTAAATACGAACACTCAAGGCGAACAAGAATTCCTAATGCGTCTACGGCTGACAGAGTTTTCTAAATGAAGCTAAAACGTTTTCCCAAACTGTTTGAAAATGTTAATCTGCGCCATTTATCTGCCTCTCATTGTGTTCTCTTTCTAAGCGTCTGGGCTGTAAATGGTATCGCACAATGTGTGTAATGATTCTGTTACTGTTCATCGATTTTCTTACTGTTATTAAAACCATATTTCGGAAGTTGGTCTTGCTTCTGTCTTAAAATGGGAGGACGAAACGTTACTTCCCCCCCCCCCCCTTCCGGTTAAGCTAATCTCAGCCATGGTCCGTGGAGGTCCGAAAGCTGGACAGAGCAGGGATTTGTTCTCCCACCTGATGAAGGAATTAGGACCATTTTCGGAAGCGTAATCAGCAAAATTTCTTATCTTAACTTATCCCGCTATAGGAGTACGGAGGTGAAAGATTTAAAAAGTTCTAGGTCACCGTGCAGTCAGCGTTAGGATAGGACGGAGATCATAATTATCTCACATCTAGCAAATATCTCTTTAAATTTCCATCCTTGTTTCCGTGGAAATTCTGAAATAATCCACGTCAGCACATTTACAAAACAACAAAATCTTGGGAATTGAGTGTATACATATATATATATATATATATATGTGTGTGTGTGTGTGTGTGTGTGTGTGTGTGTGTGTGTGTACATATATATATATATATATACACGTAATTTTCTATGATGACTAATTATAAGTTACTACATAGATGTTTAGTCAAGTGACTTTATCAAGAGTGATCCAAAGAATTGTCACCAAAGATTTTCATGTATCCAACATATGATTAAATAAAGATGTAAAATGGACCGAAGTTTTGCGGTGTTTAAAGCGGGATTGTTTGCCTTGCTTAAAACCCGCCTGACAGCACCCTTCATTAGCGACCCACTTCTATCGCCTCAAATATTTATCCCGTTGATTCCCGATTAATCTCACCATCTCACGTGTCATTTAAACCAACGAAATGAACTTAGGATTATATCACGACTCCGCTAGGACAAAGGTAAGCATCACGGTGCGTACCTTAATCATGGCGGCAGTGTTCATTTTGGCCTAGTTAATCCGGCCACCACACTAAAAACGACAAAAGAAAAACCTTATTATCGTGGGTAAATCGTATTCCACACACTGAAAGACAGAACCGGTCAGATAGTTAGCTACCTGCATGGCTTTACGTGGACATGCATTCGCGCAGGCGCAGTTAAAAGAGAATACAGAGTAATCTTAAAGAGAGGAGGGACAGAATGGTCTTCCGATAACGTACTTCTCGCTTGCGTGCTGGCGTTTGACATTGCGCCTTGTATCACATTTCTCTCGATTTTAATTGATCAGCCTTTGTTGTGCGCGTTCTGATTTACACTTGTGAATCATAGAATACGAAATATGATGTACAGTGTGTCCACAAAGTCCCTTCGGGGTTTTGAAAAAATTGTGGCTCGCAAACAAATTGAGTTAGCCACATGCGGTTTGCGGCAGATTACAGTGAAAATCTTGAAGTTTTTTACTGACCTCAGTAGGCCTCGATGTGGGCTCCCTTGGTAGCACGGAGAACGTCCAGACGATATTCGAGCTTTGCCATGTTCTGTGGAGCATGTCCGCTGGAATAGCCGAGATCGCATTCCTGATACGGGTCTTCAGGTCATCAAGTCCGTTAACTGGTGTTCAGAACACATTGCTCTTGACATAACCCCACAGGAAAGAATCCAGTGGTGTTATGTCTGGCGAACGTGGAGGCCAAGGCATTGGACCGTCTCTGCCGATCCATCTTCCTGGAAATGTCTCTCTTTTGAAGAGCAGACGATAAACATGAACACCTTGGTCATGTCAAGAGCAATGTGTTCCGAATACCAGTTAACGGACCTGAAGACCTGAAGACCCGTATCAGGAATGCGATCTCGGCTATTTCAGCGGACATGCTCCACAGAACATGGCAAGAGATCGAATATCGTCTGGACGTCCTCCGTTCTACCAAGGGAGCCCACATCGAGGTCTACCGAGGTCGGTAAAAAACTTCCAGAGTTTCACTGTAATCTGCCACAAACCGCATGTGGCAAGCTCAATTTGTTTGCGCGCCACAATTTTTCAAAACCCCGAAGGGACTTTGTGGACACACTGTATATACTCAACTACCAAAATGTGGTCAGAAATTTTGAAAAACTCATACTTTGTTACTGCTTAATGACCAAGGACCATACAGTCATTGTTCACTGACTTGACATAGTGTACATAAGCTTCTGCTGTGCATTTACATTTCGCTGTTCTTACTTGGTTTTGTCCGCTTGGTATCTTCTTTTGCAACGGTCGCCGATAGAGTTCTGCTGCATGCGATGGATTTCCGCCTTCACCTTGGAACAATTTCGAGCAGTGAGCACGAAAAGAACCACGTTGCATGTGATCATGGGAGAAACAGGGCCGAAGAAGTAGACTGCGATGCCATATGTCATTTCTGCAACAACCACATGTAACTTAACTACGCCTTCCTCTATGACAGGTGCTTCAAAACATATCTTAACTTTAGTAAAGTCTTCTTGGGCTATCAGCCGTGTTAGATGTTGATTAATCGCCGACGTTTCGAGGACTATCTCTGTCCTCATTTTCAATGATGTTGTTGACTGTGGCTCATAGCGCGAACTGTTTAAATGTCCAGGACTCGTGCAGGTCTCCGGGCGGAGTCTGGAGGGGGTTGTGGACTGTTTGGCGTGTCCGGGTGTTGTCTTTCTACTGCACTCATAAGGCATGTCCTCTCTACCACATATTTTATGTACAATGGCTCCTACGAGCAAAGGGACGGAGTAGCCATGGGGTCGCCACTTGCGCCAGTGATAGCCAACCTATACATGGAGTCCTTTGAACATAAGGCTTTAAACTCGGCAACCAAGAAACCAGCACACTGGTACAGATACGTGGACGACACCTTTGTGGTGTGGGAGCATGGAAAAGAAGAGCTCCAGATATTTAAACAGTCTCCACCAGAATATGAGATTTACAATGGAACTGGAACATAACAATGTTTTGCCCTTCTTAGACGTACTGGTAAGTAAAAGACTGGATGGCTCACTGGGACATACCATTTACAGGAAACCGACACACACAGATCTGTATCTACACGCGAGTTCGGAACACCATCCAGCACAGAAGCAGTCGGTACTGAAGACACTGGTTCACCGGGCAAGAACCATCTGTGACTCAAACAACTTAGAGAAGGTGATCAACCACCTTCGTAAGACGTTCAGACAGAACGGATACAGTAACCAGGACATCAAGTGGGCCCTCACTCAGAGACAGAGGCCCCGGACAAAGAAAGAGAAACGGGTGGGCATAGCGAAGATACCGTTCCAACAAGCGATCTCCCACAGAATTAGCAGAATCTTGGCAAAACATAACATCAGGACCATCCACGTCCCAATGAAGAAAAATAGTAAAATGCTGAGACCTATCACGGACAAATTAGGCCTAAAAGTTGCGGGTGTATACTGGTAACATGTGAGTGCGGGAAGGTCTACATCGGAGAGACGGGCAGATCGATCGAAGCGAGATGTACGGAGCACAAAAGGCACATACGGTTGGCCCAGCCAGAGAAGTCCACACCCCCCTCCAGACCCCGCGCGGAGACCTGCAAGAGTCCTGGATATTTAAAACAGTTCGCGCTACGAGACACACAGTCAACAGCCTTGAAAATGAGGACAGAGATGGTCCTCGAAACGTCGGCGATTATTCAACATCTAACACGACTGATAGCCCGAGAAGACTTTATTAATGAAAGCCGCCGTGAAAGCTTCACATCATATATCTTAACTTAATGGACACGTCCATGCCATCGGATTGAGGTAAAAAAACACGGACGGAAGGACGGACCTTTTATATTGGACGTGTTAGCTCGGCTAACGCTTTGAAATACAAAAAAATAAACAAAAAGTCGTGGTTCAGTGGTACTCTATACAATGGGACGCAGGAGAACCCATCTTTTATAATGCATCGTTAGCCTGCTGCAGCCAGCGTATCACAGGCGTTGTTAGCCAAATCGTTTGAGCGTACACTGGCCGTTTGTGAGCGTAGGCACAATTAGAAGAGACGCGATACAATATAGGTTTAAGGGGCGGAGGAAGTGTGTTTGGGTGAACTTCAAATCAGTGATGTACGACAAAATACAGCGGAAAGGCGAAACGCGTATTTCCGTTCCAGGATAAAACATTCAGAAAATGTTGACTTAAATTGTTATTTGAAATTGTTGTCAATAGTGTCACAACAAACCAAAATACTTATTTCTAAATTATGCAGACCATGAGTAACCATCGTCCCGCGCCGTACTCGCGCTGTCTGAGGCATCATTGTTCGGCCCGGTGATATGGAATGGCCGCTGGCTTGAGTCTCGGGGAAAGAAATTTCTCATGAGCTTTCGACCGGTGTCTGGGACCGGTGCCAATCCAGCATCGTGAGGAAATTGGGGAGCTACAATGGGTAGCGTAATCCGGTCAGGAAAGCTAGCAATGGCTGGGGGTTCGTCGTGCTGACCACACGTCACCCTATATCTGGTTGGATGATCGTTCACCTCTGCTTAGGCATGTGAACGTGAAACCAGCAGTCAAGCTAGTCGGCTTTGGCTCTCAGGGGGCTGTTACGCCACGGATTATTAATACGTGTATTATTATGAGTAACCATCCAGTTACTGTTTTAAAGAGTTGAAGACTCTTCGATTTTTTAACATAAAAGCTTAACAGATTTTGACAAGGTTTGGGCAGAAAGTGAGAATTGCTCACGGAGGCATAGAGACTAAATAGAACTGCCGGCTAAGTGACCAAGAATTTCAATGATTAACTATAATTGAAATAAGTAAATATCACGTCAACAGCGAAATAAGTATAAACATAGTTGAGGATTTAATTTAATATTCCGTCAAGCAATATTTTCGAAGCCTATTAAACAAAGCCAAGGTGGCTATCATTGCTTCGTATAAAATCACAGACATCTTGGCTAAGAAGTTAAAGCCCTTTGAAAAAGGTACTGTGGTTGAAGAATGTTTAGTTGTGGCATGCGGTTCATTATTTAATGAATTTAGAAATATGCAACGCAATTATGGACGTCCAGTCATCTGGAAGTACTGTCACAAGAACTAAACAACATCAGAGACAGTATCTTGAAATTTGTAAATTTTTCATCCTTCAGCTAGATGGGTCAATTGATGCCTGTTTTTTCCCAGTTACTTAATTTTATTCGGATACTCTTCAAGGATGTCAATATAAAGGAGGAGCTGTTAAAATAAGACTAGAGATGAAGACATATTTAAAAGCTTTTATACTAGCCTCCTGGAAATGGATGTTCCTATTTGTAAACTTCTGTCAGTCACCACAGATGACGCTCCAGCCATGAATAATAGTAAAAAAGTTTCTCATAATTGGGCTTTGCAAAAGAGAATTCGCTTTCCCAGACATTTTAGTTACCATTGTGTCATTCCTCAGCAAGCTCTGTGCACGATTGTAATCGGTTTACTAGGTAATGTGCTTTACAAAATGAAATATTGAAAGAAGATAAAGCAGTGTTAAGTAATGAAGTAACACGTTTGGGGAAGTGGACGTATATCTCCACCGATTTCTAACCTCGCATTCGATGGAGGCTATTAGATTTACATAAGACTAGTTAAATACGAGACCTAGTCTCAACGGTCGAGGGGAAACTTTCCCTGTCCCAACCTGGTACAGAAACATTGTACTATATATCAAATTGAATTACCTGTGTCAGGTAGGCCTATACGATAGCATATTAAAATATATTTCCAAGCTAGAAACGTGTTACAGCAAGATAATTGTCACATAAATCCCAGTAACAGCTCGTACCGATTCTGCCCGCACAAATACGAGGTGCGATCGGAAAGTTTCAAGACTGTCTCAATAGAGGGCGAACCGGATGTAGTACGAGCTTCTGCCGCTAGGGGGTGCGGCCTACATTCATAGTGAATCAGTGTGCCAGCCGGCATCATCGAATTAGCATTTGTTTCTTAGTTAACGGGCGTTTTGGTAGTGCATTACACCGACCCTCCTGCGATTTCGGAATGGCGCGTGTGCATCAAATTTTGCCAAAGACTCGCCAAAACGGCTACGGAAACCTATGAAATCCTAAAGCAAGCA